AAGGTTAGGGTAAATTGTACTGGTCAGTATAAAGAATCGCATTTAGATCATTATGAAGTTAGTATGTGATGATAATGATGTTCCAACCCAGACTAATGTGACAGACTCTGACAATCCTCCTGACCCTGTACTCTCTTCCTCTGATACTCAGTCAGACGATCAACCTGAATGTCGTTATTCCCTACGTAAAACGACAGGTATTGGGGAAATCCTCAAGTATCTTTGTAACTACCAATTCAGATTTGCCTCAATTACAGCATGAGTTAGCCAATGCAACAGAGTTTGATCCTCCCAGAGATGACACCCCTTCTGCATATGTCAATCTTACCCCAGCAGAGTTGGGGTTAAATGTAAATAACCTGTAAAAGATAATTACAGTATAACTTATCAGTATTCAAGAATTTTTTTTTGTGTTCACGTTCTCTCCCAATTCTGGAGTTAACAGTCTGATTTGAGTGCACCGAATCTGCCTTTCTGTTAAACACTTCTTTCTTTGTATATTTCTTCTCAGAATCCGTAGATTTACATGAATACAGATCGATCGATCAAATTTTTTTTTTTATCACTTCTACTGTGTAATCTCAACGTTGAGTTTCATTCGATGATTTTTGCTATATTATACCTTGTTTTTGCATTACAGTTTCGTTTCGTTTAAACTTCCATTCCAATGTTCTACTTATGTATGTTATAATGTTCAATTGTTGTGTACTTTGACATTGTATAGAATCAGCCCAAGCCGTACACCTGCCATCTCTAGTTTGTATTAGTTGTATGTCGGGACCACATACGTTAGCGTCGCCGAGCTCTCAGTAGTAGTACCAGTTACCAGTAACCAGTGTACCAGTAGATGACTCACTACCAACCGTCTCTGCGTGAATCACTGTCTGTATTCATATTGCTGCTGACCATAGCAGGATTTCAAACACCCCCCTCACATGTGGGCACTGTGAGTTAGTCAGTCTTACGAGAGAGAGCAAGGAGGCAGGTCACCGGCTGTTTGGCGCCTACCAATACTTACCGTTATAATTATACGTACTACCAGCCTACGTGAGTATTTCTTTACCCTATCCACGTGTTCGAACCCCACATGATACATGCGTAACATCACAATGCATACATATAGACTTAAAGCCTTAAATCTCCACTCTCTGGAGAGGCATAGAATGAGGGGAGATATCATTGAAGTGTATAAGTGGATGACGGGCATAAACAAAGGAGATATTAATAAAGTACTGAGGGTGTCGAACCAGGTAAGAACCATAAATAATGGATTTAAGTTGGATAAATTTAGATTTAGAAAGGACATAGGTAAGTACTGGTTTTCTAACAGAGTTGTAGATGCGTGGAACAGTCTTCCCAGTGGGGTGATAAAGGCTAGGACCTTGGGTAGCTTTAAGAAGAGACTGGACAAATATATGAGTGGGAGGGGCTGGGTTTGATTGGTGTCATTGGGTACGGGAGTTATTTCTTGGGTAGCTTTAGGTAGAGGTCGTTTTGATAAGGACCTGCCTCGCAAGGGCCAGTACGCCTTCTGCAGTGTTCCTACATTCTTATGTTCTTATATTCACACAGATACATACATGTACATATATATAGAATTTATCCCCCGGCAATGGCAATGTCATGATGGGAAGGACAAAGAAGATGGGAAGCAGAATATAGACTCGGGGACACAGACTGCAAACCTTCCTCAAGGAGAAGGAGCTTGGGAAGAGCACAACCTGAGGCACACAACTGAAGAGCTGCCACAGCAACCTTGCATCTGGCTACCGCACTCAGCTCACACACTCGGTACGGCTGGAAAACGTTAGGACGTGTTTCCATAAGACACCTGCTGTCCCTGTTCACCCATCAGTATAAAAAATGGCTACCTGGGTGTTAGTTGATGTGTGGGTTTGCATCCTGGGACAAAAAACGACCTAATTTGCCCGAATGCTCCAGCATAACAAACAGCTTTCTATATAGTACTATGTCATTGATGTCAGCTGGGTCTGTTACCTTGTACATGTACTTGTAGAAAAAGATAAATTTATTATTATTATTATTATTATTATTTATTATTATTATTATTATTATTATTATTATTTATTATTATTATTATTATTAATATTATTCAGCGAGGAGTCATTTCATGACACTGTACGGTATATATGAGGCCATAATGGAGTATGCAGCGCCCGGGATGGAACCCCACACCAAATCACACATGTCAAGGAACCGGTTTGCATCAAGATAGTCCCGGAGCATTGACGTATGAGTTTTGAGGATAAATTAAGGGCATTAAACCTGACGTCATTAGGGGACAGAAGGACCGGAGTGGTATGTTACTGAGGTACAAAATATTGAGAGGATAGGATAAGGTGGATAGAGATGGACTGCTCGAGAGCGGGAAACAGGAACACGAGGGCACAGCTGGAAGTTGAAAACAAAGATGAGTCACAGGATGTTAGGAAGTATTTCTTCAGCCTTAGAGTGTCAGGACCGATCAGTACAATGAAGTGTTTTTTAAAACAGGATCCATACACAGTTTTAAGAAGAGGTAAGACAGGGCTCTCGAAGCAAAGAGAGAATGAACTCAGTAGTGGCCAGCTAAAAGACAGGGCAGGAGATAAAACTTGACTTGTGCAACCACTTACAGGTAAGTACATTCCCAGGTTTGCACATGAATATTATACATGGTAGATAAGACACATAGGCAACATTTAGGCAACTTTATTTCGAAACGTTTCGCCTACACAGTAGGCTTCTTCAGTCGAGTACAGAAAGTAGGTGGGAGCAGTATAGATATGAAGACGATGTAATCAGACACTGCAACACAATGGCATCTTGAACATTAAAATGGTATAAAATACCGACAGGTTGTTAGGTAAGACACATGTGCAACAGTTAGGTATCTTTATTTCGAAACGTTTCGCCTACACAGTAGGCTTCTTCAGTCGAGTACAGATAAGTTGATGGAAGCAGAAGAAACTTGAAGACGATGTAATCAGTCCATCACCCTTAAAGTTTTGAGGTGGTCAGTCCCTCAGTCTGGAGAAGAGCATTGTTTCATAGTCTGAAATAATATGGAGTTGAAGTGACAGGATGGAGCCTTATATAGCGGCAGGAGGTAAGACGTAGGTCACTAGTAGAGGTAAGAACGAAGATGTTGGGAGGTCAGGTCCCTCTCAGATCCAGCCGTTCTCACTAGTAGAGGTTGTCGAAGTTGATTTCAGGTCTGTACCAAGATACCCTTGTGCTGCAGTGTCTGAGAACGGCTGGATTTGAGAGGGACCTGACCTCCCAACATCTTCGTTCTTACCTCTACTAGTGACCTACGTCTCACCTCCTGGCGCTATATAAGGCTCCATCCTGTCACTTCAACTCCATATTGTTTCAGACTATGAAACAATGCTCTTCTCCAGACTGAGGGACTGACCACCTCAAAACTTTAAGGGTGATGGACTGATTACATCGTCTTCAAGTCTCTTCTGCTTCCATCAACTTTTCTGTACTCGACTGAAGAAGCCTACTGTGTAGGCGAAACGTTTCGAAATAAAGATACCTAACTGTTGCATATGTGTCTTACCTAACACAATGGCATCTTGGATCAGAAGAGAAAACACCTTGGACAACTTTTTCAAGTGAGAACTGTATGATCTGAGAGGGACATGACTTCTCAGTAGCTACATTCTCACTACTACTACTCTGCACCTCTCCTTCAGACAGTATTTAAGTCTCAACACTGTCGCTTGATCTTCAGTTAGTTCCAGACTTTGGAACAGAACTTCTCCAGGCTGAGGGACTGACAACCTCAAATCTACGACTTCAAGGGTGATGGACTGATTACATCGTCTTCACATCTCTACTGCTCCCACCTACTTTCTGTACTCGACTGAAGAAGCCTACTGTGTAAGCGAAACGTTTCGGAAATAAAGTTGCCTATGTGTCTTATCTACCAACCTGTCGGTATTGTATACCATTTGATATTCAATATTATACATACACACACACATACATATGTACACACATGATATACACGTACACATAGTTTTATATTTCGCTGTCTAAGAATTTTATCAACACCCTGCACTATTCCTTTTGCATGCATTGAGGTAGAAGGGGCTGGGCTTATGAGATAGAGGAATACCTTCCTCGGGTCGCTCGGCTACACAAGTGCATCTGCTATTATTAACGATGTTTGGGGAGGGAAGGATGAGGGTTCATCACCTTTCAGTGACATAATAATAATAATTACAGATGATATTATTACAGCATCACTAGAAAGGAATGTATCACAGATGCAAAACTATCATCACTAAGTTACTAACACTTTATGTATGGAAACCAAAATAATTCATTTTCTGAATATTCTGTACGTGGCTCTTTGCTCCAGTTTACCTTCATTCTTTCTGTGGCTTTCGTGTTTTGTTTTCATTGTGTGTTTCACTGCAGACTTTTCCTGGAGTGTTTGTGTTTTGATCAAGAGTTCGAGGATTGGTGTGTATGGAGTCTGCAGTTAGTCTCTAGGAGGTGTTGCTCACTGGAACACTGGCTTGCTTCAGTCTGCTAACTGGTAATAGGGTCCTTTATAGTGTTTTCTCTGCTGTTCTCATTCAATAAGCCAATTAGATTGTGCTCTGTAGAGTTTATGCTCTGTTTGTGCTCTGTAGAGTTTGTGCTCTGTTTGTGCTCTGTACAGTTTATGCTCTGCTTGTGCTCTGTAGAGTTTGTCCTCTGTTTGTGCTCTATAGAGTCTTTGCTACTGTTGACGTTCCTTAAGCACTTCAGATTATGTTCTTTAGTGGTATGATTTTTGTGAATGTTCTCCGAAGGAAAACTTTCTTGTTCTCGGGTATTAACACCTTCAATATTTTGTGTTTTGTCCGAGGTGTTTAAATTAAGGTGCAACGTATGATGGCTTTTTACGTACAGGCGCACACGAACATCTGAGACTCTCACTCTGTCGTTAGTGACTACTGATGCCCTGTGGTCACCAGGGTGGGTAACATGTTCGTGTTTCATTGACGGCACTGGGGGAGGGTGTGCGTGTAGTGAAGAGTGCAAGTACTGTGTGTGTATTGGAGTATTATTATTGGTGGAGCTGATGGTGGTGAGGAGTGGAGAGGTTTAGCGTTCGGACCTATTAAGGAGAGCAGGGCTGGCAGCACAACCAGGCCGTGGAAGAGACCCAACACAGACACACCAGTAAAGATTTTGAAGAAGGAGATGAAGAGATGTGAGTGAGAGGGAGCGAGAGCAAGGAAGGCTATAAGTGTGGAGACGCCAGCATGTATCACCGCAGGACCAATTGTAGTCACCGCTGCCTGCACTCGCTTACGCCTGTCTCCTCCAGCCTCCAGGAAGGCATGTGCTACATGTACAGCGTAATCAACGCAGAGACCCGCAGACAGTACTAAGGCGATGGTAGTGATGGTGTCGATGGCGAGGTTTAACACGTGCATGATGGCGGCCACCTCCACCAGTGTGGCCATGACGCACCCCACTACCATCAGCGCTGTCACACCAGTCCCCACTACTACCACCGTCACCACACCTACCACACCCACAACTATTCCCAGATTACGCCATAGCTCACCGGACAGATTAGCATCAGTTTCCCACTGGCTGTAGACGTGGGCCCAGACAGCATGGTAGCCAGACACATTAAGGTCTTCTACTGCCCGTCTGACCCCCTTCATAGCCGCCTGCTGCTGCCACTGCTTTTCCATCCGCTGATAAACGAAATTTATCTTAAACGTGGAGATGTTTGGAGCAGGAGCGGAGCACACTAACGGCTCATTAAAAACAAAATGAGGGATGAATTTCGCTCCCACGCCAGAGTGAAGGAACACACCGAGTGCTTCTTGCAACAAACCCTTCGTAAGCTCACGTCCCGAATACCTTAAGTCGTGGTACATGTAAATGTCGAGTTCTGAGAACCAGGCTTCCACGGTGGCTACATATGGGGATTGGAGGAGGGTGTCAACCAGGGCATTTAGGGCGGGAAGGTCCTCAGGTAGGCTGGTATTGGTAAAGTAAATACTTCCTCTCTCTCCCATCTCAGGAAATTGTCGGTTCATGGCATCAAACCAGCGATATAGGTAGGAAGAGGGAGGCAGAAACAACAGGGGGTTGAATTTGGCCTTTAGGTAGAGGGAGCCCCATACTCCTGCTGCCACCAGTGCTGTTGCTGCCAGCACCACCAAAACTGCCACGGTGCGGTCTACCACCACTCTGGCATACCTATTCATCATTCTCTGTAGTACCCCATGAGGTGAATTGCTGCACATGGTGATGACTGTGGCCTTACAGCACTTATCTCGGGCGAGGGCTGCTACAAAGACAGTTACCTGCAGAAGGTAGACCGCAGCAATGCTTGCCGCTGCGTAGATACAGAACCATCGAAGGGCTGGAATCTGAGTGCTGGAGCCCACCAGGAAGGCCACCACGTCGGTGAAAGTGGTGAGAGTGATGGCTACCCCGGCCTTTTTCAGAGTTTGTCTACCCTGCCTCACAATCGTGGAATCCCGCCCACCTGCAGCTTCCCACGCCATTACAATCACGTACATGTCATCCACGCCTAGACCCACGAGAAGCACAGGAAGCAACGATGTTATAGGACCATAGGGCACACCAAAGACTGAGCAAAGGCCATAGGAGGCAGCAGCTGCCATCGCAACACACAGGAGACCCACAAGGGCAGGCATAGAGTGACCTAGAGTGACCACTACATAACACCCCATCACTGCCCATCCAAGAAACACCCACATCAAGTCGCCCTTGATGGCTGATGAACTCACTGCTCCAAAACTGTGAGCAGCATGGATATGTAAGGTGACATCCTGGGAAGAGTGCGTGTGAAGTGCCTTCTCTATGAGAGCCTTCTCCCAGGCCATACTTTCCTGGTCCACTGTCTGCCCATTGCCCAGATCTATTATATTGCTTGTGGCATCAGTCTTAACCTTGGTGACCCAGGTATGAAGTGCTGACCTAGCCGCAACAATGCGGCCGGAAGCATCCTTGATGATCCCTCCAAGAAAGGCTGCCATGCGAGTCGGATAACCGAAGACGTTACTTGTGGATGCCTTGTTAATGTCGCTAACTACCTGATCGTCGGTGAGGTTCATGATGAGATGGGGGTGGTAACCCCACACCTCCAACAAGCTTCTTTCATAGCACAGAGTGGGTAGGCTATCCAAAACATGACAATAAATCCCTCTGGGAAGTAGGTGGCTGTAGTCATTCCTCGCTGCCTCCCACATTTCCCGTGACACCCGGCTCATAAGCTGCCTCTCCTTCTGGTTGGCGTTTTTCAGGGGCCACACACTACCGTCCCCCGAGGACTGGCTATCATCACTTGCAGGTGTCACCTTGCTACCCTCCAGAGACTCATCACTTCCGTTTCTCTCAGCGTTGAGATACTCTATGCTCATCTCACTAGCAGTAGGCACGGCAGCAGGAATTTCCTGCTGATAACGAGCTTTCCTTCTGGAAGAAGTTTCTGGTTTCGAGAGATTGGATTGGCTGATGAGGGAAGGAAGGCGGGTGCAGACATTGTTCCAACTGATGTTTGAACCTAAGACTTCCAAAGTGAGGTTGGCCATCAGCTGGTGAAGACTCCACATGCTCTGCACGGCCCGGGCCGTTAATATGTTTTCCCTGGCCTCCCATATTCCCACATGATGGCGGTAATTGCTTGGGAAGTTCTTCATCTTCCACTCATTCACCTGCAAGTATGACAGTAACTGCGACGGCTATATGATATAAATGATGTACTATCGACATTAAAGAGGCAAAGAAAGACAATGCAAAATAAGCTTTAAACTAAGACAACATTTCCCTCATTGTAGCGCTCTACACAGAGCTAAACATTGCTCAGCAATGTTCTTTTTCTTCATGTGGTGACTACACTTTGACCTCTGGTGAGTAATTTGTTACATTACACACTCCTGAGTAGCTAATTTTTTGAACATCTGCAGCTCATCCAGTGAGTATAGTTTACTGATCATCTACAGCTTATCCTGTGAACGGTAATGCAAAAACTCAGAACTACAAAAATCACAGTGAGTGTGAATTAGGTGCAACTGAACATTATGATGTATATCTTTTAGATATAACTTAGTCATTTAAAATATCACAATCTCTTCACATAGTTTATTATATAATTAATTAATATGCAGATACAGTCTCAACAAAAAAAAAAATGGCAAGTGATGGTATCACAACATGATTGCTTCCTAATTTCTGCCAAGGAACTGTGTGATTCCTACAGGTATATTGATAATAATATAATACTCACCCACCTTATTGAAATGGGAGTTGTGAGGTATCCACAGACGGTAGGAGCGCTGTTCCAGTTGCAGATTTAGTAGGCCTAGGGAGGCCAAGCCTGCCGCCAGAAGGACAAAGAGGGTGGTGTAAGCTGGATGGGCGGCTACAACACCGCCCCACCACCCACAACACGTCTCCACCGCCTTCATCACATACTTACTCACCCCTCCCACACACCACCTCCTGGAACACCAGGGTCCACATTGTTATTTTAATATAAAATCACATTTTTTTCAAATTAGAAAAATTATTTTTAAATGTCAGGGTAATGAAAATAGGAAAGCCATTTAAATGAATAAGAGTTTTTCTTCATTTAATAATAATAATAATAATAATAATAATAATAATAATAATAATAATAATAATAATAATAATAATAATAATAATAATTATCTCTATTTCTACAAGTACATGTACAAGGTATACAGTCCTAGCTGACATCAATGACATACTGTATAGAAAGCTCCTTGTTATGCAGAGCATTACGGGCAAATTAGGTCAGTTTTGTCCCAGGATGCGACCCACACCAGTCCACTATCACCCAGGCACTCATTTTACTGATGGGGCGCATAGACAACTGGTGTAAAGAAACACGCCCAATGTTTCTACCCTAGCCGGAAATCGAACCTGGGCCCTCGCTGTGTGAAACAAGAACGTTAGCCACCAGGCCACAGAGCTTGTTCTATACCTGTGTCTTTTCTTCATGACTGTCAGTATGATCTCCCACGAGGAAGCACTCTCCTCCGCTAAGGCTTAAGTCAATAAAATTCAGTTGAAGTTCTTTTCTTATTATTGTTCTCAAACTGCTTGTACCTGACAAGGAGTAGTTTACAATCTTGGCTTGTCAGTTAGCAGTTTGAGAACAATAATACGAAAAAAACTTCTACTGAATTTTATTGACTTAATACTCAGGGAGACTGACACCAGTCAGTCCATCTATTATCATTCTATCATGCAGGAGGAGCCACATGTCTATGGTGCATCCAACAAGATAAGCAGACTCTTGGATGTCACTACTGCCCGGCTCCGGCTGAGTTACAAGTATCTATAGCAGGTTAAATCACCACCACCAGATGTAGACATGTAAATTATGTGATCAGGCATATGGTCACTGTCTTGAGGAATACAGAGACAGACAGTATAATAACCCATGTAACATGTCAAGATATCTTATTAATGAAAATAAGATACCATATATACTAAGCAAATTTCCTAAATTTGCTTGGAACAGATAAGTGAACTATAGATATGTAGATATAAATCCATATGTATTCATGTTAACCCTTTGGGGCCTAGTTCCTAGGCCTTTTGTGTATCCATATGCTCTCGCGCTACCGTCCACAGGATGGATATGGGGTGCACAATAAACTAGCCACTTCGGTGGCAAGATCTAATCTAATCTAATCTACCAAACGAAATGTAAACTTTGCCAGATGGACTATTGTCACACCTTGCGTCATTATATACTGGAGTGCGATAAAATTAATGAAATTTTCAAGAAATGGCAAAGTATTTTATCCATCTTGGAGAAATACCCTGACTTTGCTAGCTGTAAATAAAGCATTACCACATGTATATGTGTGTGTGTGTGTGTGTGTGTGTGTGTGTGTGTGTGTGTGTGTGTGTGTGTGTGTGTGTGTGTGTGTGTGTGTGTGTATGTGACCCAACAATTAATATTTGCACCAATAACTCATTATAGTTGTGACCGGGTGTGGACGTGTGAGTTGCTCATTACTCTATAATTTGTTCATGATTGTAGCCATGTATAAACGTAAGTAAGTAAATTTACTTACAGGATTCATTACCTTTGTACCTAGTTCAGCTATCAAAACTTTGGGGGCCCAGTCCCTGGATCCATTATGTACCTCTGTAATCTGTAAATACCTTTGTAACTTGTCATAATTGTGACCAGATCTACCTGGAGTTCATTACCTTTGTAACTTGCTCAGCTATCAAAACTTTGGGGTTCAGTCCCTGGACCCATTATGTACCTCTGTAATCTTTTGACTACCACCCACAGGATGGGTATGTGGTGCATAATAAACATATTAAAGTAAAACTAACTCCGCTATGGTTGCCACAGTGAGAGGACTCCCAGGATAATCTGCAGGTCACTGCAAGCACTATGGTGGATTCTTTTGGAATCCCAATCTGTATGGTCGCCTGCCCTGGGGAGTCACCCCAGCTGGAATGGTAGCCTGCTAACACTACCAATGCCCCTAAACCGCCCCCTAACCCACCAGACACCACCGTCTGGCTCACCTTACCACTCCTCCGTTTTACCTAACCACTCGACCAACCTCTAGATCTTTGACCCCTCTCCACCAGGATAAATTCTTCCACGTCTGTTTCCTTGGATCTAAAGCCAGACCCCTCTAGTCCAGGAAAAATCCTTTCCCTTTTGCTTATACACACATTATATCTAGCCAACATTTTTTATTCACAGATTCTTCTCCATTGATTCCTATGGAAAATTTTCTAGGGGTGATTACCTGTATGTACCTCAACATTATATACATACAAGTAAATTCATTGGGAGACAACCATATTGTTTACCGTAGTCACCCCGTGTAGACATGTGAGAAAACTTAACCACCCCTGGTCACGGCAAGTGGTTCCTTCGACCTCACAATCTTATCCATATCTATCCGAGACCAGTATGGATTGGATAGCACCCACAAGTACGGTGCTACTAATTAATTGTGGACTGTATAGATTATATTAGTTTAAATGAATGAAGGGGGGTGGGGTAGGTTACACATGGATATATCCATCAAGGAAAACACTTGTTCATAATCTCACCACTTACCAGATATTCTCTAGTGGTCACTTGATGTAGCTGGATCACCCATAACCTATCTAATTACAACATACCTAACTGGCCAGTATCAGTCTGCTATAACTAGAAGGGTTACTTAACTGTGGGTGATTGATACTCCTTATTTCCTCCATTTACCATCTCATTTCGATGTCCTGCTACACCGACACGGTTCTTATTCCAGCAGGACGAGGTATCCGTCGGTTTGTCCCAGTTTAGAAGTCGTGATTCCATAAAGCTTCACTATCCTCGGTACGAGAATCACGCGTTCACTCGGAGCAGGGCGATCTATTTCACATCCCACATTCTCTTAACTCAATGTTATTATCACTGATTACATTACCATTCACAAGACGATTTAACGTCTCATAATTATTATACACATTAGAGTTCACTCCATTAAGATCTGAGGCCGATGAGTGAGGATTAACACACGGGTATTTCCCCTGGACGCACACCATGGCCGCGCACCAGTCACACCCGGTTGAACCATTATTCACTAATTTTACCACCTTTTTATGGTGGTCCCGTAAATCATGTTCCCTCACTCTTCACCAGGAACAGTTATGACACTTCCTATTATGAAGTGAGGCCCATATTAATCCTTAGGCCACCGTGAACGCCACTTTCCTGGTTCCATGCTTTCCCAGCCTCCTCACTACCTTCAAAACACTCCCGCCTCCCCCATGGCCCGAATCGACCTCTCCCCCCGCACATCCGTGCATGCGCAAAGGGAACTCTTGGTTCTATCCTATTGTCAAATATATTTTTGACTCATATCGACACATTAAACACCTATTAGGCACTATAGTTTCGGAAAATCAAAAAATTTTCCACACTGCGGCCGGGCGGAGGTCGTTGCTAGACGACTTATATAATGTGGAGTACAATTTTCCCATCTTCACTGGCCACCTGGCTTGGGAACTCCAACATTGGTATTTACATAATCACCCATTAATTCTTTCCACCTGTTAACTCCTCAGGTAGGGCTCCATCCAAAGCACACTCAAGCCTCCATGCTTCTGGTATTAACAATTTTCCTCTTATTGTAAGGTGTGACACTAAGTCTATGCTCTCTGGGTTAATTTATTGGGCATACTGGAATTATGAGACTTTAACAATAACAAGTCTCTCTCAGTATCCCAAGTCAGCCCCAGCACATTACTGCATATAGGCACTTCAACTCCATGGCCATCCATATTTATTGATCCCTCAAAATGGACTAATTACTGTTCCATTCTCTCAGGGGCATAAGCCTATGCTCCCTGGATTAATTTATTGGGCATACTGGAATTATGAGACTTTAACAATAACAAGTCTCTCTCAGTGTCCCAAGTCAGTCCCAGCACCTTACTGCATTATTTCATTAACCCCTTCACATATCCTCATTAGTTCCTCTTCAGTTGACGTCACACCCGGAAATTGTCCACATAAGATTATTATACACATTACCTGGAGTTTACCTGGAGAGAGTTCCGGGGGTCAACGCCCCCGCGGCCCGGTCTGAGACCAGGCCTCCTGGTGGATCAGAGCCTGATCAACCAGGCTGTTGCTGCTGGCTGCACGCAAACCAACATACGAGCCACAGCCCGGCTGATCCGGAACTGACTTTAGGTGCTTGTCCAGTGCCAGCTTGAAGACTGCCAGGGGTCTGTTGGTAATCCCCCTTATGTGTGCTGGGAGGCAGTTGAACAGTCTCGGGCCCCTGACACTTATTGTATGGTCTTTTAACGTGCTAGTGACACCCCTGCTTTTCATTGGGGGATGGTGCATCGTCTGCCAAGTCTTTTGCTTTCGTAGTGGGTGATTTTCGTGTGCAAGTTCGGTACTAGTCCCTCTAGGATTTTCCAGGTGTATATAATCATGTATCTCTCCCTCCTGCGTTCCAGGGAATACAGGTTTTGGAACCTCAAGCGCTCCCAATAATTGAGGTGTTTTATCTCCGTTATGCGCGCCGTGAAAGTTCTCTGTACATTTCTAGGTCGGCAATTTCACCTGCCTTGAAAGGTGCTGGGTTTGTGTGCAGCAATATTCCAGCCTAGATAGAACAAGTGACCTGAAGAGTGTCATTATGGGCTTGGCTCCCTAGTTTTGAAGGTTCTCATTATCCATCCTGTCATTTTTCTAGCAGATGCGATTGATACAATGTTATGGTCCTTTAAGGTGAGATCCTCCGACATGATCACTCCCAGGTCTTTGACGTTGGTGTTTCGCTCTATTTTGTGGCCAGAATTTGTTTTGTACTCTGATGAAGATTTAATTTCCTCATGTTTACCATATCTGAGTAATTTAAATTTCTCATCGTTGAACTTCATATTGTTTTCTGCAGCCCACTGAAAGATTTGGTTGATGTCTGCCTGGAGCT